AAGAAAACAACTCTGCAGGCTGCTTGGGCTCTGGGTCCTTTGTGTCCAGGTCCAAATATGCAAAATAAAAAAATCAAACACACCAATATGGAAAATGCATGATTTAAATGATAAGAGGTGACTGCCGAAGACAACTGGAGCATTGCAATTCTTTGGGGGGAAAGTACCAGCCTTTTTCAAACTGGTTCCTTTGGCCTGATAGGCAGACATTCATGCCCTCCCCACAACCATTTCTCCAAGCAGGTAAACCCATTTCTGGTACGAAATGTAGGCAATATTGTCACTTGCCTCCATTTTTTAGTGTTGGCCTTTGTTAAGAAGGATTCCACAGCTTCAGCTCTTCTTTGAGAAATGAAGATCTCGTAATCATTAGAAGGCAGTTTTCTTTTCCTTGGTTTGGCCATTAACTCGACTTTCCATGCTTTTGACCCTGCTGGGCTAAACGTTTGACCTACATGTTTTGGTAACCTCAGGCCTTAAGGGGCAACCTGAGCTCCCTCGGTCAATGAAGCAAAGCTATGGGAATGCTTTGCTCGAAACTCATTGTGGTTCTGGGTGTCTAGTCACAAAGATGGATGTGGGCATGTTGAGAATTCAGAAGTCAATGTGGGATCTTTGTAACTGCCTTGTGGGCAGATACAGCCTTGCATTCTTCCGACACTTTGCCGTTTTAGCGACAGGAGAGCATTCCACTGCAACCTGGGAAGATTGCCCTGAAAACTTATTTTGACTTTGATTCCATCATTTTTGGTCACAGAAAGACTTCTCCCCAAGACTGGCAAAATAAGGCCTCTCCTCCTAGCTGCCCCAAATGGCTGGTTGGTTTTAGTTTCCAGCGCTAGAGGCATACTGACCCAACTCTGGTCAGCTCCTTATCTTTCAGGCTTAACCCTGCCACAATACCATCCCATCACGAAACTATAGGGAATCAAAATCAGAAGAATCTTTATTTGCATCAGCCACTAGCCATAACAATAAAATAAAATAAAATGTACTGAAGAGGTAAAAATTTAACTCTACAAGATACATTTTGGAGGTTTACATCAATAATCAAATAATAGATCTTATTCTAATTGCCCCCAGCTAAAAACCTCACAGTTTTTGCTGTCACCTGATCATCTTGATCTGCTAAAAGAAAGGACACAGTAGCAATGCTTGAGTGACCTGGAATGGGCAATAATAGAGGGGTAATAACCTCACTCCTCAAATCTTTATAAAGAGTACAAGCCGGAAGCACATGAGCCACTGACTCAATACTGCCATCTCCACAGGGAGACAACTGTTTTTCCAGTGGAATTTTGAAACTATAGGGAGTCAAACCAACCCCACTAGCCTATTTGCCTAACCTGCTTTGTTTCAGAATTAAAAAGATTTGCAAAGGGTGCCAGGAGACCTCACTGCAATGTACACTCCACATTAGAGTAAATAATTTGCCAGAGTTGACCTTTTCATATATTTCCTTCGTGGTTGTGTAATAATGTCCAGCCCGCCAACTTGAGGATATATTGAACATGTGATCCCAGCCACCTGGAGTCACAAGGTTTGTATTTAACTAGCGGCCCAAGCTGGGGGTTACAGCTGAACCTCATGCATCAAATTCACATCCACACACAGTCCAGTGCATATATTCCTTTAATTGGACCCTAGTAAGTTACTCTCAAGGGACGCGGGTGGCGCTGTGGTGTAAACCATTGAGCCTTGGGCTTGCCAATCAGAAGGTCAGCGGTTCAAATCCCCGCGACGGGGTGAGCTCCCGTTGTTCGGTCCTAGCTCCTGCCAACCTAGCAGTTCAAAAGCACATCAAAGTGCAAGTAGATAAATAGGTACCACTTCGGTGGGAAGGTAAACGGCGTTTCCATGAGCTGCTCTGGTTTCCCCAGAAGCGGCTTAGTCATGCTGGCCAGATGACCCGGAAAAACTGTCTGCAGTTGACTCCCTTGGCCAGTAAAGCGAGATGAGTGCCGCAACCCCAGAGTCGTTCACGATTGAACTTAACTGTCAGGGGTCCTTTTCCTTTTAAGTTACTCTCAGGTAAACATGTAGAGGATTGTAGCCCAACTGGCATGTTTATTCAGAAGTAAGTCTCACGTATAGACATGTATAATAGGACTGCATTGTTAGGTAATGAACTGGAAAACGCCGTTATAAAAAATTACTAAGTGGCTGGAGGAAAGTTGCTTAGCCCTCAATCTGCCAATACAGGCAGTGATCATTTTAGGTGCGTCCAATATGTGTGTGACAGCGCACTTGCGCATCGTGCCAAACCCGAAAGTGACCTGAAAACATCACAAAAAGGGGTGGGGCCAGGGCGGAGACTTTTCAATGGTGTTTCGAATATACTCGATTTCACTCAAACGTGTAGCACCTTGGGATGTAACCCCAGCGTAAATTGTGAGTTGCCTGTCTAGAGAAGGCAGTGCTTCAGATATGCTTGATTTAAAAAAAAAAAAAGTTATCAAGATAGTAACTTAGTTCAGACATAACGACAAGCCAAACTGTAGCTCAGCACAAATACACAAAAGTGTAGACTCTCCAAGTGAAGATGGTTGCTGTTGTGCTCTGTCCCCCAAGTTCTGCTGTTGCCATGCTAGCCAGGGCTAAGTCATAGCTTGGCTTAGCATTATGTCTGAACCCAGGCTCATGGTTTGTCTAGAGGGAGACAAACCATGAGCAGAACACCAAGCCAAGGCACTAGAGCAGGCTTCCTCAACCTCGGCCCTCAGATGTTTTGAGACTACAATTCCCCTCATCCCTGAGCACTGGTCCTGCTAGCTAAGGATCATGGGAGTTGTAGGCCAAAAACATATGGAGGGCCGAGTTTGAGGAAGCCTGCACTAGAGGCACTCTAGTTATGTTTGTAATGTTTCTTTAATAATAATTTTTTTAAAAAAAATAGAGTCACTCAGCCATAGTTTTTCTTAGCGTCACATGAGAACTGGTATGTTAGTGAACTGCTTCGAAGTTTGAGAAGTGCAATATATATTCTGACTAAGAATTTGTACTGATTTTGCCCCTACAGTGGTACCTCTGGTTACAAACTTAATTCATTCTGGAGGTCCGTTCTTAACCTGAAACCGTTCTTAACCTGAGGTACCACTTTAGCTAATGGGGCCTCCCGCTGCCGCCACAGAGCTAGCTCACGATTTCTGTTCTCATCCTGAGGTAAAGTTCTTAACCCAAGGTACCACTTCAGGGTTAGCGGAGTCTGTAACCTGAAGTGTTTGTAACCCAAGGTGTTTGTAACCCAGGGGAACCACTGTATTTTTATTCAACACTGTAGTTTCTCAGAATAGTCCCTACCCACTTTGCACTGACAGTGAGTAGGGTCATGTCAGACTTTTTTTTCTTCTAACGAAGTTTGCTCTTAAAATATCTGCTAGTATTTGCAGAATGAGCTGTAAACTGTAACTTTCTCATTTTTCAGGATGGGATATACATACAACAGAGCAGCTTCCGCGATGACTATTGGAACAAAGGGCTGCAATGGCTCAGCAGACTTAAAAATGCCTAGAGCCCCTCCAAAGCACTTCGACAAAAACGCCTACGTGTAGCCAGGTGACTCCAAGAGTCAGCCTGTTGTTGTTGTTTTTAAAAATCACATTTGTTCTGTTCATTCACAGAATGATTTTTAAGGGAGATTTCTGGTGTCGTTAGCACCGGAAACAAGAATATTTTATAAATGAACTTCTACCTACTTGATGTAAATTTTCCTCTTCCCTCATTTTAAGATTTGTACTGATGTTATGCATAAATTATATATGTAAATCATTTGCCATTTTTTGCTTTCTGTAAAAAAAAAGAACATATTTACAAATAAAGTCACGTCCTATTGGTTATGGCTAATTGGTGGAGATCAAGGCACCACAGGTTAATTTTTAGATGGGCACCAGTTTTTCTAGATGTGTCGTTGACCTTGGGCTCAATTTGAAAGACGTTACATAGGATTGTGTTATCTATTTTATGCCTACTCTGAAGGAAGGTGAGCCAAGTAAACAGAAACACAATCCAAAACAACCCTAATTTTAAACACTGGTTCCTAAAACTTCAACCTTATGGGCTGAAACCTATCCTTTCTGGATAGTGTTGAGATTGTCACACAAGGCCAATCCCTCTCCTTCCAGAACTTACAGCCACAAATCTCTGAAACTGGCCAAACTCTCTTGGGGATATCCTAAGACAATAAGCTATTTTTATTTAAGGAGGGACACATGACTGACCTTGGATAAATGTCCTCGTTTTTACAAGTTTTACCCTCTCCCTCCAGCATTCATTCCAGATTTTGATTCAAACAAATATGTCAATAATGACATCTTTTCATCTACAGATGCTGATTATATTTTCAAATGCTCCAAGCCCCTGAGGTGGCAGGGGTTGAGTCTTGGCACTATTTGTCTGCCAGCCCTCTCGGTCAATTTCTTCCTCTTGCTGTAAGGCAAAATGTGCCAGTTCTGCTTGTATATACAGTATTAAGCAGCGAAGAGGGCAAGGAGGTGCAGAGGCTGGATTTGGTCTCAGTGTCTTAAAGCATTTAAATGTCTAAGCACTGCCAACAGGCAAGGATCTAGCTGCCATGCTTACCTGGGAACGGACGCTTAACACCACAATGAATTTGTTAGTCCTCAAGGTGCTACAATACTTTTTGTGGTTTAAGCTTGATTGGTGCAGCTGTTATGCACTGTCTCAACAGTTAAGTATTGCTTGCAATGCTTTGAAAAGGTCCTAATAACATGGACAGGGTGGGCCAAATATACTGAGTTGGTGAGGTGCGCAGGGGTGGTCTCCTACAAAGCCAACCCCTCTTTTGCTCAGGGAACCAACAGAGATCAACGGGATCCTCTGGCCGCCAGAGGGATGCCAATTTCATTGCAATTTTCTGTGTGTTTGTGAAGGAAGAAAGTAACCTTCGAGTTAAAATAGTTTATTTAAAATGTTCACATTTTATATCAAGTTATGTATAAACTGTTTTTGTATTTTTTAAAAAGATTACTTAAAATACTGGATCAGTTAATGCTGTTTATTGATGAACACTTCTTACCTGAAAGTGGAGATTTAGTGAAGTATTAATCGGCCCTGCATTAAATCAACTAAAGACACCAGAGTTTTGTAAACAAAAGGTTCCTTGTTAACGCACAAGAAAAAAATGAACAGGAATCAGACTGTTGTCTTTGGAATGAGGTTTTATCTGCAACAATCAAATAACCGAAGCGTCGCTCCAGTCTGTGATAGTGGGTGAGCTGCTTTTTGTGCTCATATCTTCATCTTGAAGAACTGTTTAAAAAGGAAACAGCAAAATTAGCTTTCAAAGATAGGATAGAGATGCTACCATTCTTCTGCAACACGTTCCGGTGCTCTACCATTTTTAGATGTAGGTAGGTCTTCCTGAAAACAATTTAGAACAATTTTGATCTCCTTTAAACAAAGTTTGACACAGGAACTTTCCACACTTCCAGCAGAGTTCCTTAAGGAGCAGGCCTATGCAGAATAGAATAAATAAATAATAATAATATGACCTATACCCCGCCCATCTGGCTGGGTTTCCCCAGCCACTCTGGGCGGCTTCCAACAAATTTAAAATACATTAAAACATCAGTCATTAAAAAACTTCCCTAAACAGGGAAGAAGTTAGTGTAAGGAAAGCAGCTGTAAATTAAATGGGCATTAAGTTGCACCAGATCCAAACTCTTTTTAGCAGCCTATGGAGCAGAGCAGCCCATCTCACCTAAACCAAAGTTCATCCTGAATAACACAGGCCCTCCAGCAGAGCAGTTAAGGTGCATTAATTTCTGTGGTCAAATGCACCACAATATAAGAAGCCCAACACCTTGTCTGGCTGCTTTCAGTTATTCCGAACAGGGTGACCACAATCCAACCACAGGTTTAAATGTGCCCAGTCCTGTTGTTTTCAGAGCACTGTTTTACTGTGGTCTGTAGAAAATACTGTTCTATGTAATAAGAACAGACACCTAGGGGATCAAAACCACCACTGTTGGGAACAGTGAAAGGCCCCAATCACTTCATCACTGTACCTAGTAAAAAACACCCCCCATAAAAATAAAGAAAAAACAACAATGGCTTTAAACATCAGGTGTAGACATCAGATGAAGTTTTTTAAATTTCATAGTTATAGTCCTGATACACGTTTAGGGAAGTTTATGATATTAATCGTGTTTTGTTGCATTTTAGCACTTTTATTATTCTGTCTCATTGGTTTCATAAGTGGTAAATTTCCTTGAACTTAAGAAGCAGGATAGACACAACACAGGTAAATAGCCTTTTCTGTACAAAGGCTACAAAGGTCTGTTTCTGCTGAATCAAACTTGCCCATAGCCCCAGTGGCTCTGACCTTGGTAGCAAATCTCCCTTCCCTCCAGGCATTGTTTGCAGAGAATAATAATTAATAAAAATAATAATTTATTATTTATACCCCGCCAATCTGGCTGGGCCTCCCCAGCCACTCTGGGCAGCTCCCAACAGATTAATAATAAATAAATAAAAAGGCGACAAAACATCAAACACTAAAAACTTCCCTAAACAGGGCTGCCTTCAGATGTCTTCTAAAAGTCAGATAGTTGTTTATCTCCCTGACATCTGATGGCGGGCGCCACTACCGAGAAGTCCCTCTGTTGGTTCCAGGTAACCTCACTTCTTGCAGTGAGGGAACCGCCAAAAGGCCCTTGGAGCTGGACCTGAGTGTCCAGGCAGAACAATGGGGGTGGAGATGCTCCTTCAGGTGTACTGGGCTGGGGCCATTTAGGGCTTTAAAGGTCAGCACCAAGGGAACCTGGCACAGCTATGGCTGAGAACATCAGAGCTATTGACCAGTAATTGATATCACCACCCATGAATGTACCTTCTTCCTTTGTTGGTTTTCCTACGCATGGAGTTCCCCATGCGTGGACTGTGGATGCCGCATTCGAATCTTTCTTTTCAACAGCAGTTGCATTCTTAACTTTTTCATCTTTTGCTGGCAAACGCTTCTCATCTTTTGCCAGCAAACGTTCTTCATTTTTTGCTAACAAAGGTTGCTCATCTTTTGCTGGCGATGGTTTCTCATCTTCTACTAGAGATGATAAATCCCAGTCTTCGTCGTCGTCCTCCTCAACTCCTGTAAACTATTAAGAAACAAATGGAATTTCTTAAAACTTAAATCTAGGAACAGGTATCTGCTAGTCTTTTTGTACACAGATCCTGTAAGAGGAGCTGCTTGCTTAAGACGATGGACGTCAATACGTTGAGCTACTAAAGAGCGAAGATTTCTGGAAACACACAACAGAAGAAAAAACAATTGATGTGATTTGTTCTCTTTGTGCTTGTGGGTTTTGCTTTTTAAATAGGTTGAGAAGAGAGCAGACCAAAATACTCACATTATTTGAATTAGTGCCAAACCCTGTGGCAAGGCGAAAAGAGCTCTTAAGGAATAGCTATTACACTGAAGAAAGACTGCAGTGCCCTCTACTGACAGGAGACTACAATATGCTACATGAAGCCAAAATACCTAAAATTCATTTAAATTATGTACAGACTGCATGCACACAAACACACGACCTACATATAGAACAAAAAGGGCACAGTAACACCCAAGTTAAACTGTTTTACATGTCCTCCCTTTAGGCATGAGAGCGTTCAGGCATGTGTTTAATTCTACAAAGAAATTAAGATTTTAATTCTATACAAATTTAAATTAATTCTATACAAAATTAAAATTAAGATTTTAATTCTATACACACGACGGGAAGCTGCCTTATGCCAAGACAAACTATTTGTCTATTTTGCTCGGTGTGATCTACTTTCTTACTAATGGCTCTCCAAAGTCTCAGGCAGAAAGGGACCTTCCTCATCACTTGCTACCTTAACCTTTGGAAGCAGAGAGCTCTGAGATTGATCCTAGAATCTGCTCCCTATACAGTGGTGCCCCACAAGACGAATGCCTCACAAGACAAAAAACTCAGTAGACGAAAGGGTTTTCCGTTTTTTGAGTCGTTCCGCAAGACGAATTTCCCTATGGGCTTGCTTCGCAAGACGAAACGTCTTGCGAGTTCTTGCGAGTTTGTTTCCTTTTTCTTAAAGCCGCTAAGCTGTTAATAGCTGCTAAGCCGCTAAGCCGTTAATAGCCGCTAAGCCGCTAATAGCCGCTAATAGCCGTGCTTCGCAAGACGAAAAAACCGCAAGACGAAGAGACTCGCGGAACGGATTAATTTCGTCTTGCGAGGCACCACTGTAAAACGTCTGCTCTGTTACCTATGTCCCATCAGATGTCAAGGAAATAAACAACTCTCTGACTTTTAGAAGACGTCTGAATGCAACCCTATATTGGGAAATTTTTTAAATCTATAATGTTTTTCAATTTTTTAATGTGCTGTAAATCGCACAGAGTGGCTGGGGAAACCCAGACAGATGGGCGGGGTATAAATATTATTATTATTATTATTATTATTATTAGCTACAAGGCCTCTTCTCCTCCATCTGTGAGAGAGCATTTTATGGAAAAGGTTTAAGATTCCAGATTTCCTCACCACGAGTGACAAGAGGAAAGAGAGCGATCCCCTCAAATCTTTTTCTTTTTAAGAAATCCTGCACCTCAATTCTCTAATTCCTATAGAGCTACATTTATAGATAGCACCTTGAGCTAGGCTTTCTTACAAAATTCTGAGTGGGTCCACATAGGAAGAATGCTCTCACAGATTATATGATGGGCTTAGACTACTAAAGGCTTTCAAAGGTTGAAACCTGTTTGGAAACAAAGAAGGAGGTGGTGCAGTTAGGGGGTCAAATAGCTTTTACCTGGCAGGTGGGCAAAGCTGCAATACTCTGTTTTACTTGTTGTGCTCTGACTGCTGCTTTTGCAGTAGCTCCCTGAATTTTTTTATTATTTTTTTTTGCATGGATACAGGTTTTAAAAATCCAGGGGGATGACTTGTACTTGCAGTGTCAATTTTACTTACACTGAAAAGAAGTAAATCCCTGAATTGCATTTAAAAGCCAGAAGACCATCATACTGAATTAATACCAACCACAAATATCTTTATCAGCAACTACAAAGTGGTTGAAAACAAGACAGTGATTTGCAAAGGAAATTCTTACACCAGTAAATTATCCCCTCAATTATAAGAAAATAGAAATAATAATACAGTGGTACCTCGGGTTAAGTACTTAATTCATTCTGGAGGTCCGTTCTTAACCTGAAACTGTTCTTAACCTGAAGCACCACTTTAGCTAATGGGGCCTCCTGCTGCCGCTGTGCTGCTGGAGCACAATTTTTGTTCTTATCCTGAAGCAAAGTTCTTAACCTGAAGCACTATTTCTGGGTTAGCAGAGTCTGTAACCCGAGGTACCACTGTATCTCGATGTATATAGGTCCTTTTCAAATAAAATCTAATACCTTTACTCCTTGGGTACACTTTTGAATAGATACGGGGCCAACATTAATGACTCCAGCAGATTCATTTTCCTTCCCTTGGCTCGGAGGAAGCTTTTCGATTTGGACAGTCTCTCTTTGGATAAATGCGCCTACACAATCAAGAAAACAGGACATGGGTAACTTATAACTGAAATGCTTAATTCTAACCCAGACTTTTGGGTGTGAAATTACACTCCCAGTACACTTTTCCTTGCAGAATCAACACAGAGGTAGACCTATAATGCAATAATTATAAGACATCTTTGCTTGCATAGAAATAAAAAATTTTCAGTCACTCGCTATTTACAGTACACAAATAATCCAAAGAAAACCAACTGAATTTTACATTTGGGGTGGTTAGTTATCTCATTTGGGGGTGCCAGTGTAACATGTTAGGGTAAATATTTCTTCTAGCAAAAAGTAACCCAGCGTTGTAGGTTTTTGTTTTGAAAACAATCAAGAGTCCAAGACAAAAATATCCCAATAAATTGATTGATTTCTGCCACTGAGGTGCTGCTCTGTTGTTGTTGTTCTAGCCAATTTTAATATAGTGGGATAAAAACGTCCCCTTATTTTTCCCAACAAAATGGTCCAGGGAAGCACAAATCTTCCAACACATTTTAGTTTTATTAAAAAATAAAATAAAATAAACCCAGATTAATGATGGCTGATGAGATTGGTAGACTGCCCCATGAGTCTTCAGCTACTGTGCTGATTACAATTTGGAAGTTACTCGTAAATCAATGATATTAGTCTAGGCAGCAGCTGTGCAGTGGGAATTGCCCAAGAACCCTGTCCTCCTGCTACAACCCCTCAGACTTTAATATTCAGTAGTGTGTTAAAAGATTATTTCCTTTTCACCGTTTGCTCTATGTGCTTCTTTTTAATTACGTAATCAATCCCACTGGTTAATGGCCAGTATGATTATCAGCTGTTCAGCACAATCCTGAGCACAGGATAGAAAGCCACAGTAAAGGAGACCATGGGGTGAACACAGATCCTGGTGTGAACATGAGAGGAGCATCTCCCCATAGGTCTGCTCCTCCTTAAGGTGGTCTACAAAATTAGCTTCCCTACTTTTTGAAGGTTTAAGGCTTGTTTTGAATTCTTCTTCTTCCTCTTCTTCCTCCTCCTCTTCTTCTTCCATGGAGTTCACATCACTCTGGCTTGCAAATCTTGACAAGCTGGCTTTGATGTTGCTCTTGGACACCTGAGGCTGAGACAATTCTGGCGAGATATAGGACTGCATGATGTCATTCTCTTCTACTTCTTCCTCTGAGCTAAATGGTGGGGTTCTAAGGGGGAGGGAAATCGGTGGAGTTAGGCACCTTCCATTATTATCATCATCGCTGCGGCAAGACCTTGATTTAACCCAACTGTTGCCAAACACGGTACTGCCTTAGCCACACTTTGCCCAGGTTCTCCAAATCCTTTCATCCAACAGGAAAATGGTAGGGATGTCACAAACCTCTGGTTAAGATAATCTTAGGATCCTGGTCCACACCACAAGGTAAATGGCGGGCCACCATTTTCAGCATAAGTTAATCCACAATGCCACCATTCTTGAGAAAACTGGTTACAGATGTTGATTTCCATCAACCTAAACTCTCCCCATGTTTTGAAACTAGTAAGAAAGGAGTCTTTGCTGAGAAAGATCCCATACACAGTAAGGAACGTGTGGAAAGCCATTTTAGGTCCTTTGAATAAAGGTGGATTCTATGCAGCCAAACCATTTTATCCAGTTTGAAAAGCAGGTAGAGTGCACCTGTGGTTCAAGGCTCTCTCTGAGCATCTGCCTATTGTAAATGTAAAGGTAAAGGACCCCTGGACGGTTAAGTCCAGTCAAAGGCTACTATGGGGTTGCAGTGCTCATCTCGCTTTCAGGCCGAGGGAGCCGGTGTTTGTCCAGAGACAGCTTTCCGGGTCATGTGGCCAGCATGACTAAACCGGTTCTGGCACAACAAAACACTGTGACGGAAACCAGAGCTCATGGAAACACTGCTTACCCTCCTGCCAAAGTGGTACCTATTTATCTACTTGCGCTGGTGTGCTTTCAAACTGCTAGGTTGGCAGGAGTTGGGACAGAGCAACGGGAGCTTGCCCCGTTGTGCGGATTTGAACCCCTGACCATACCTATAGTAAGCATGCGCAAAGTAAGCATAGCTATACATCTGTCTTGGGTTTTACTACACAATCTGATTTACCATGTCTTTAAAAAAAGAGACTTCCAGCCACCATGGTTGTAGAAATCTGTGAATAGTTTCTGATGAAGGCCAGGGGATTAGAGGAGTGGTAGCAGCACTTCCATTTAGGGGTGGTATCCTGCACACCCCTCTGTCTCTCCCCATCCTGTTCTTTTGTTCTGCCTCTATTGCTTACTTGTCCATCCCCAGTTCTTTGTCTCACCATTTCAAGCAACTGGAAAACCTGAACCTTAGGTAAAGTGGCATGTATACAATTTGACATTTCTTCTTTGCATTGTTTAAATTGAGTTCAGAATATTGCGCACAGAAACCAAATGGAAGACTTACGTAATACTATGCAGCTTTTGGGGGATTTCATCTCCCAAAGCGCTCTTCTTGGTTCTGGAAGGAACAATAATAAAAATAACAACTTTTGTTATCTAATATATTGCAGATTCTATACTCTGTATTCAGATTCTGTATGCTGCTTTGGGCAATTGCCTTTCAGAAGAGGTTTATGAATGTTACAAATATATTTAAATCATAGAATAGTCGAGTTGGAAGGGGCCCCAAGTCATCTAGTCCAACCCCTGCAATGCAGGAATAATGTAGTAAATGCTTTTTAATCGCCCCCTCCCTGAAGGAGGATGACGGTCTCGCTATCTTGTTAAAATATACTTCTGAGGGGTTAGAGGAAATAAATCAATACACCTATTTCCTTTCTTCCGTTTCTTGACAACAACATAATAAAAACAATATTATAAAATAGAGAACTCAGAAATAACAGGATCCAATCTTAGGGGCCAGGGAAAGCCCAGGAAAAACGATAGATGCAGAGAGCAACTAATAGACGTGTCATGTATGGCAGAGGGAAGGGCATTCCACAGAATAGGGGCAATGGCAAAAAATGGACATGCTCTGAAATATTCTACAGGACGTGGAGCGGTGGGTAGAATTTCCCCAGATGATCTTAGCCAGGGTTTGCCAAACTTGGGTCTCCAGCTGTTTTTGGACTACAACTCCTATCATCCCTAGCTAGCAGGACCAGTGGTCAGGGATGATGCAGTCCAAAAATAGCTGGAGACCCAAGTTTGGCAAACCCTGATCTAAGAAATTTTAAATGTCTATCCAGGGTCAGGGGCCATTCGGGTAACCTGATCCCAAGTTGCTCAGGGCTTTCTGTGTTAGTAACAAGGCTTTCCATACGGAGCTGCAGCCAATCAGAAGACAGTGCATCTCTCCCAGCGGACGAATAATACAGACATGTTCAGGTGCTCCACCGTATAGGCCCACAAGGCTGCTTCCGATAATACGGACAACCCCAAACACTCAAACAAAACTTTACTGAACAGTTCCTCTTACTTTGGTGCAGGGGTGTTTTCAGCAGCGACTGGTCTTTGTATGGTTGGGCGTTTGGCAACAGATGGACGTTTTGCTGCTTTGGGTAACACAGTTGACAGCGAACCTCCCAAATGAGCTAACCTGTTCTTAGCTGCAATGAAACGCAGGTTATAAATACTCAAAACAGCGTTCTGGTGGAAGCGCATCAGCGGTAGAAACAGTGCCAAGAAGAAAGAAGATGAAACTCAGCAAAGAGGACTTGTTTGCAACATTAGATACAGGCCTTTCTCTTGCGGAAGATGAAGCAATAGTATTACATCTGCCCAACAACCAAAGCTAATTCCCCCCATTCCCACTCCCACTCTTATTTTTGTCTTTGTATCAGAAAGGCATCTGGTCAATTTGGTTGCCAATAAATATTGCCACAGACATTTCTGAGATCATGGTCATTCCAATGAGTGGCTCCTGTCCAGGTTTAATTATATTACTTTAAATGTTGTGAGGATCCTATGCCCTTTTAAAAAACGTGTTTTTTGGGGGGTGAGAGGTTATTGGGTTGTTGTTTTTATTTTGATTATGTATTTTGTGGTTTTATATTTTGATTTTATTCTGTGAACCGCCCTGAGACCTCCGGGTATAGGGCGGTATATAAATTCAATCAACAACAACAAAGATGTATCTCACAGAACAATGTCAAAAGAAACAAGAAAGACAGACACATTTTCAGTTTCTACTTTGCCGGCTGAATTGTGTCTAATAGACCTGCCCAAGTAAGGAAGCTTGCCTGGCTTCCTCCTTGATTATTCTTCATCATCTCAGGAATACATTTTCATTTCAGAAGGCATTTGGCTGTTTCTGTGCTCTGAGTTCCTTTGAATTTTCAGAAAGTCACCTGGCTGTCCCTGTTTATTTTGCATTTCAGGTTTGGTTTTTTGCTACTGTTTTTTCAATTTTTACACTGCAAGCCTCCTTGAGTGCACATTTTTTAAACACAACAACAACGGAAAGATAGGGTAAAAATGCTCTAATGAATAACAGAGAATGCAGGGGAAAGCTGTGCTCACAAGAAATGTTAGCAATGTTTCTCTGTATTGGGCACAGGTTTCACAAAAGAGGCACTAGCTCTACATCTTGAGCCAGAAAAGTGCCCTCTGGCCCCTAAGCCTAGAAGCATGTTGCAAAATGTGCTAAAGGAATGTAATATCTGATTGGTCAATACCTCAGGTGGTGGGATTTCCACTTTTTTATGAATAAGTAGTTATACATTGTAAAGTAGCTTTGGTCAAGAATGTATAGACTGCTAATTAAATAAAATGTAGTCCTTAAACAAGTAAGTTGGGAGTTTTTAACAATAGTTTAAATAAATCTGTGAAAGGATTATCGATTGCAGTTCACACAGACATCTTGTATCAGAGAATGTGTTCAACACTGGGGCCGTAAAACTGTGGTGATGACTTGCTTAAGGAGGCTCAGGCAGATTCTGAGGAAGCTCATACCTGCTCCTCTTTGATCAGATTCCACATGAGCTAGGGACCAGTTTTCTAGTCCAAATGTTGCCCTCATCCACTGCCCTCAAACAACGCTGGTACCAAAATGCAAATGGCTCACCGATTAATTAATGGGTCCAAAGACAAACAGCTGATCTGCTTTTGAACATTAACTTGTTAACAAAACCTTTAACACACTGCACATGAAAGCAGGCCCAACGTTTACGTTGTCTCGAGTTATAAGTAACATGGTGGTTTGACCTCCAGACACCTGAAAGCAGTGGGGGTGTTTGGGGCAGGGAGAGGGGTGAGAAGTTAGCACACCTTCTGGAGAAAGGTAAGAACTGGAATAAAGTCTGCTGCAAGACATAACCCTGAAGTTGACTTGCTGCTGGAGCTGCTCCCGAATAAGCTGAATGTCGGGGATCTGTTTCTTTCTTTCTTCTCTAGCAGATTCCACAGACATTAAGACCCTGTTCAAATGATCACTTGGGATACCATGAACTCCCTGTGAAAGACGAAAAGTTTCATTCTGATATGCAGGAAACAAAATGCAAATTACTTTCTGCTTTAAAAAAAAGCAATACTGCTTCCCTTTTTCAGAAACGCGGTTTTGAAAATCATACAAATTATCCTTGGGAAGGATGTTGCTTTTGTGTGGACCATACTAGATGATGCTGTAGCAAATGTGTAACGAAGAGAGACAGGCAGAAAAAGAGAACGGGTGGCCCTGCCTACTATTTATAATAAATAAATAAATAAATAAATAAATAAATAAATATTATTTATACCCCGCCCATCTGGCTGGGTTTCCCCAGCTACTCTGGGCGGCTTCCAACAGAATATTAAAATACAATAGTCTATGAAACATTAAAAGCTTCTCTAAACAGGGCTGCCTTCAGATGTCTTCTAAAAGTCTGGTAGTTGTTTTTCTCTTTGACATCTGGTGAGAGGGCGTTCCACAGGGTGGGTGCCACTACCGAGAAGGCCCTCTGCCTGGTTCCCTGGCTTCTTGCAGTGAGGGAACCGCCAGAAGGCCCTCAGCGCTGGAACTCAGTGTCCGGGCAGAACGATGGAGGTGAAGATGCTCCTTCAGGTATACTGGACCGAGGCCGTTTAGGGCTTTAAAGGTCAGCACCAACACTTTGAATTGTGCTCGGAAACGTACTGGGAGCCAATGTAGGTCTTTCAAGACCGGTGTTATGTGGTCTCGGCGGCCGCTCCCAGTCACCAGTCTAGCTGACACATTCTGGATTAGTTGTAGTTTCCAGGTCATCTTCAAAGGTAGCCCCACATAGAGCGCACTGCAGTAGTCCAAGCGGGAGATAACCAGAGCATACACAACTCTGGTGAGACAGTCCGCGGGCAGGTAGGGTCTCAGCCTGCGTACCAGATGGAGCTCCTAGACAGCCGCCCTGGACACAGAATTGACCTGCGCATCCATGGACAGCTCCCTTTCTACCAAAGAGACCAACCCATTCCAGCCCCTGGCTGATTAACCCCAAGGTAATGTGGTCCTTGACAGAAAGAAGGTTCTCTACTTCTGGTGAAGGCTTTTACGTTTTTTTATTCAATGCCACTGACTTCTTCACCCTATGTGATTTTTGGTGGCACTATTTAAGAAGCATTTCTTTCCCTAAAAGTATGGTGTCATCTTCCTAATGTCTGTATTATTCAAACTCTGACTCTGTATTTGTGTTTTCAAAAATACAAGCTTGGTTTAAATGAGATGGTGGTTCTATAGATTATAATCACACTTCTCCCTAAAATCCCAGTTTTGAATCCAGTAAACAAATGAGATTTATGGGAAATTTTGTCTTCAGAGTCTATCTGGAAAATTTTAAACTTGGTTTGTTTTCTCCACCAGAAAGAAATAGTATTTTTATCATCATCATCATCTTACTTCCCTCTTCTTATTTCTTTGGAATTGTCAGGGAACTGACATCAGCTCAGAGGCGAGAGACAGAGGGGGAGTTGTGTTACAGGGAGCCTCTGAAAATCTTGTGAAGCAGTTCCCGTGAGGAGGAAAGCCCCACCTCCAGTGGAGAAGTGGTGCAGGGACCAGAGGATGCTAGTAAGAGCCTTAACACCGTGCCTGAGCAAGCCGGAGAGGAGGGAAGCACACCTGTGCCATCGCCCGTCATGCGCAGTAGTTTGAGGCGCAAGGAGGGGCGGAAAAGGCTGGGGGTGACGAAACTTTTATGTTGGGGGAGGTACAAGAACAGACCACTCCCGGATTCTGCTAGCGATTGAGCCAGACATGAACTTATGACACTCTTCACTGTAAATGGTTTGCACCAAAAATGAAGCCTGTAAAAGACAGGTCGGAGTCCTGCCTAGATCCTCTCGAGCAACCACAACAGCATCTGACAGGAATGATGAGGATTTTCCCCAGTAAACTATCACTCTCAGTATGTGAAATTCTCTTTACAAACTACAGTGGTGCCCCGCAAGACGAATGCCTCGCAAGACGAAAAACCCGCTAGACGAAAGGGTTTTCCGTTTTTGAGTTGCTTCGCAAGACGATTTTCCCTATGGGCTTGCTTCGCAAGACGAAAACGTCTTGCGAGTCTTGCGATTTTTTTCACTCCCCCCCTTTTTTCTAAGCCGCTAAGCCGCTAATAACCTTTTAGCCGCTAAGCCGCTAAGCCGCTAAGCCTTTAATAGCCGCTAAGCCGCTAAACCGCTAATAGCGCTAATCCGCTAATAGGGTTGCTTCGCAAGACGAAAAAACCGCTAGACGAAGAGACTCGCGGAACGGATTATTTTCGTCTTGCGAGGCACCACTGTAAACAGATTTTATCCTTCTAATTACTACTTCATTACTGAAGATTTAAACTGAATGTGACTTAATATGCATAATTCAACCCAAGTTAAGTACTTTAATGAGTTGCTGGCTATGTTCACACATTGTGGTGAGCCATAAACTATGACTAGCCATGCATGAGGGAACTGTGCTGGCTTCAGTCCTCCCAGGTCATGTCGGGAGGGAAACAAACCATGATCCCGGGCTTAGCAATTACTTCCAAACCAGGGATTTGCATTGTGTCTACTCCAAACAAACCACAATAAGCCAACATTTGTTCTTAGCTTATTGAGAGTTCTGCTTAAGCAAAGCAAACCAAACCATGACCCTGGTTCAGACAACATGCAAATTCGGGGATTGTGATTTGTTTTCTCTATGCATTAGCAGGGAGGATCAAAGCAAGCGCAATTCAGCCATGCTCATAGGCCATGGTTTGTGGCTTATTGTGACAGGTGACAATTCAGTTGAAATTCGTAGAACTTAAACGTCTGCGCCCGTTTTCTCCCCCTTCCCTGTCTCTTGGTGGACGTAAATGAAAAAATGTGGGAGTGTGTTGATCAACAAGATACAGGCATAAATTTTGCTTTGAGGGTAAGTATAACCAACAGTAGTGTGAGACTGCACATACGTGAGATTACTGCAGATATTGCAATCTTACACTAAAGTCTAAGAAAAAGAACAGAAAGAACACTGGTGCCCTTAGTGGTTTTGAGTTGCCTGATTGTCCCAATCAAGCTTTAGGTATGTGGCCCTGAAGGAAGTTAGGCTATGGCTTCAAGCTCTGTTTCAGACCGGTGGGTTTGGCCCTGATTCTGAGGATACTTTAAATCTCGCTGGGAAGGGAGATAGTGGAGGAAGTGCAGAAGTGCGGGGTTGTGCCTCCTTTATATAGAGTCCAGACGTTAGCCACGCAAGGCGGTGAATCGCTCAGAAGATTAAGATATTTGCCTAGACAGGAGGAATAGCCCGTGTGAACTGGTTGATTTCTGGGGGCAGTTGTTGGGTGCTCCAGCTCGATTGTCCCCAGGTTGAGTGAAAGAGGAAGTTAAGGAACTAAAAGGGAGAGAAGTATCTTCTGATCACCTAAATACTATAAAGTGGCCTTACTGATTTAATTCCCAAGGATTCCAATTTCTCTGCTAGGGGTCTGCTCCAAAACAGATCTCAGCTCTCTTGGTACTGAAGGAGTGCTCCTCAAAGAATGTGCTGTATGGTGCTTATTCCTCCCTGCTTTGGGCTCATGTTTCTCTGTTTCTGAAACAGAACAGATAGTTTTCTTTACAACGATATTGTAGTATCAATATATGCTAAGCCCACAACAATTAAAGAGGCAAAAGAGAAGAACTGCCTTCAAAAAACTACATTAAAAAGTTAGAAACCTATTATTATTTCATTTTTAAACCACCCTTCATCCCATAGCATTCCAGAGTCGTTTACCACATAAACATATAAAACACAACACCACAGAACAATACTTTAAACCCTTCTTGAAATACATTATATGCATAAGAATAGGCATATCATAAGGCCATTTTTAATTCTGCCCAATTAAACTGGCTTTTTAATTTGGATAGAACTGGATAGAGTGGGGTGGGTTAATAAGAAGAAGAAAAAATAGTTACTATTACTATAGCTTGCCTGTGGAAATTCAAAGTTCAAATCTTTGCTTGGCTATCAAAAACACTGGGCACTCTCATCTCACTGGTTTGTGCAAGGATAAAAGATAAGAAGAAAACACTTTATCTGCCAGAAAGAGCTACTGTAGTAACAGCAACAAGAGAATAATAGCAATTTATTATGTTCCAGGGATCTGTGCTCACAAGTCCTGCCTGCCAACCCTACTACTCCTGAAGCAATTACCAACATAGGCAAGGAAGTACCATAGGAACGGGGGCAGTCAATATGGTGCCCCCCAAATGGTGCTAGACTACAACTCTGATCAATCCCTGCCATCATGGTCAATGGTCAGGAATGATGGGAGCTGGGGTCCACGTTGGCCACCCCAGCAAGAAAGTAAAGAGGTACAGGAAGATGACAATTGCGTTTGGGTATGAATTTTCTACTAGGAGGAAGAGCTTAAAATGAAACTCCCATCGCTCAGAAACAGCTGTAACAAGCAGGCTCACATTTTGTTCTCTCGGTTCCACCCTATATGGAAACTGAAACAGTAGTACAGTCAGAGTTGCCCAGAAGCATGGGAAAGACTGGAACTGGCTTTTTGGGGAAGTGGGTAGTGGGAATTAGTGGAAAGGAGGAGCAATCTACTTTCAGGAAGGTGACAGCGGAAATATTGCGGTGCCTAGCTCTGCATAGGGCTTGAAAATGTAATTTACCATGCAGTACGAAAACATGCCTACGTGATGATACTCTGGAAACCATATAAACATGTACATTAGTATTCCTAGTAAACATTTCCCACGTTAGGCCACAGATGATTTGATCGGCCCTTCCATTACCTTCTCCATCCTCTGGAAGCTCCTCTATGGGCTCCAGGATGTGCACCAAATGAGCCTGCTCTAATAATCAGGAAACAGAGGAATAGCAAAAAGACAGACAGACAGACAGACAGACAGACAGAAGCAGGTCAAGATAAAGGTCCAAAGGGTGAAAATTATGCAGAAGATTATATGGAGGTGCCACATTTGTTTATTTGTTCTTCTGAGCCACTAACTTCAGTAAAAATGTCATTACTTGTGATAGAAGTTTATTCAAATTGTAGGGATGTGTTTAAGGTAGCGAATGCTGTTTGCTGTAGCAATTTGCATGGAGGAAGTGAAATGTTTTCCATCATATTAAGCTGCAGTGCACATGTTTCTCAGCTTTACCTGCAAGCGGAGTGGTTGTAGGTCTTTAGCATTAGAACAAAAGTAAGCCTCTGGCCGTACCTGGGACTTTCCCCTCTTACCTCCATGTGTAGGGAGATAGATGCTAGGTCTTAGGCTCCTGGGCTTCTTCCCTGCTCACCATGCATGGAAGGCAACTCCTGAACCAGAGGTTTCAGAGGGAAGGAGAGGGAAGCATGCAGAGGCACATCTGACCATGACAAGTGTGTGACCCATCACAGGATGGGGGGTGGGCAGCCCCATGGTTGTCATGAGTCACCTGTGAATGATCCCCAAGAAGCTTGGGGGTTCTCAATCCAGGCAGGGAGAGGATCAGGCAGTGGGCTTAACTCTTTCACCCTGTGTCATTTTTCTGGCGGAAGCATCAGGACATAATATCTATTAAGGAAATGGCTTGGAAAGAAAAGGTTAACTAAGCAACCTTCCCCCAGATGCAGCCACATACCCTGCAGATCAGCCTTTCTCAACCTGTGGGTCCCCAGATGTTGTTGAACTGCAACTCCCATCACCCCTAGCTAGCAAGGCCAGAGCTCAGGGATGATGGGAGTTGTAGTCCAACAACATCTGGGGACCCACAGGTTGAGAACCGCTGCTGTAGATTGTTTGTGCAGGAGTGGGGAAGAGGCAATAGGGAATCGCTTCATGGAGCTCTCATGCCATGTCGAGTTTTGCTCTAACAGTGCAATCTAATAATAATGCCTACTGAATTTAGTGGTTCCACTGAATTTAGTGGTGTTTATATAGATATAGAATTGCAACCCAAATCCTGTTGATTTAAACTGAACTTTTGACATGACTAACCTTCTCCCCACAAGCGACAAAATCCTGTTTTTGACAAATTTAACGCATCCAAGATTATGTGTTTGTTTCACTTTAGGGTGGTTTAAGGCATTTTTATTTGAAGTAGCATTTTTTATAAAAAACCATTTTTATTTGTCAGCTTTTGTCATAGTTCATTTTAGTGCAGTTACTTCCCTAAGCCCTTATTTTAGAATGAGCTAGAAATCTAAATAAATTAAGTACTGAAATGGATCTGTTTCATTTAATTCCACAGAAGACAAAAAAAGATCAGTGATGAATGCTTTAATCTAAGCTTGTTTCTCCAAAAAGCAGAAATGAATATCAGATGGAAACTTCTATTTTGCAAAAGAAAGAAAAACTGGGATACTATATTAAATTTACTCACTCATGAAGATGACACTGCCTATTTCAGCTGTTTCATTTGAATGAAAACACAATGCAGCTCTACTAATCATGGTCTTGTTTGCTAGAAAGTAGGAAAAGTAGTGTTTCCCCTTTAAGGCATAATTTTGAAATTAATTTTAAAAAGGCAGGGGGTGGAACAAGGTAGGAAGAGATAAAAAGAGAGACAGAAAAGACCTGCAGAGATAAATAAAATAGACAATCACCAGCAAAGTCATCCAAAATGAATACCCAAGTTGTTTCGAAAACTGAGAAAGGCTTATTATTCTTAGTACAGTGGTGCCCCGCAAGACGAATGCCTCGCAAGACGAAAAACTCGCTAGACGAAAGGGTTTTCCGCTTTTTGAGTCGTTCCGCAAGACGAATTTCCCCATGGGCTTGCTTCGCAAGACGAAACGTCTTGCGAGTTCTTGCGAGTTTGTTTCCTTTTTCTTAAAGCCGCTAAGCCGCTAATAGCCATGCTTCGCAAGACGAAAAAACCGCAAGACGAAGAGACTCGCGGAACGGATTAATTTCGTCTTGCGAGGCACCACTGTATAGTCGGGAGAGCATCTGAAATTACAGATATGGATTTAAATTTAATGGAGACAATCACCCTGGTGCCTGTCCAAAGTGGAGGAAATGGACCTGATAAAACAATGAATGATAAAACTGTGAAGAAGGTTCCTTCCATTTTTTTACTTTTCCAAGCCCAATTAGTTGAACTAGGAGCTATAATGTGCTAAGATTGCTGCCACTGGAAGATATTAAATCTATACCTGTCTTCAGGCATAATGCTGACCAAAAACCAGAGTTAACCCCTCCCTTCCAGGGTAACACATCATGGAATGTCTAGCTTAGTATTACATCTGAAACTGTGGTTGTGGTTTGTTTTGGAGATCCATGATCTAGAATCCAGAGTTTGCTCTTGGCTTCCTAATTGTGGTTCTCATGAGAACTGGTTTGGGTGCTATGCTAAGCCAGCCACTCTATTGCAAACTGGTTTGTTTCCTCACCTCATGAAAGGAGGAGAGTGGGAAGTGCATGAGCTATATCTGAAGGAACATCTCCATCCCCATCGTTCAGCCTGGACACTGAGGTCCTCCTTTGAGGGTTTTCCGCTGGTTCCCTCACTGCGAGAAGCAAAGTTACAGGGAACCAGACCGAGGGCTTCTCGGTAGTGGCCTCCTCCCTCTGGAATGCCCTCCCTTGAGATGTCAAAGAGATAAAGAACTACAGTGGTACCTCTGGTTACGTACTTAATTTGTTCCGGAGGTCCGTTCTTAACCTGAAACTGTTCTTAACCTGAAGCACCACTTTAGCTAATGGGGCCTCCTGCCGCCGCCGCACGATTTCTGTTCTCATCCTGAAGCAAAGTTCTTAACCCGAGCTACTATTTCTGGGTTAGTGGAGTCTGTAACTTGAAGCGTATGTAACCTGAAGCATATTTAACCCAAGGTACCACTGTACATAACTTTTAGAAGACATCAGAAGGCAGCCCTGTATCGGGAAGTTTTTAATGTCTGATGTTTTACTATGTTTTTATATACGCTGTAAGCCACCCAGAGTGGCTGGGGAAACCCAGACAGATGGGAAGGGTATAAATAATAAAATTATTCTTATGTGTACCAACACACAGCTTGTGAACAGACTACTTTGCTAAACTAGGGTTTTTGGCCAGTATTATGTCCAAACACAGCCCTTGTGATCATAAACATATCTGCGAGATTGGAGACATAGTGACCATTCAAACAACCCAAATGTGAAATGAAAAGTGCAGTTGCCATACAATGAATATTTTAACTATTATTACACCCTGCATATTGCCACATCTGGGTCTCAAAGTGGCTTGCAAAAAAATAAAGCTATGTACAAAATTCAAAACATAGATTAAAACATCAAAGAATAAAACACTAGAGTAGCATTCATGGTGCAAAGTCTTCATAAAATAATTATTGTGAACAGGCTTTCCAGTCAACGGTTTTTTTAATTGAAAGCCTCACGGTGCTGCTTTTTTAAAATTAAGAGACCACTTGAAATAAAACAAAATGTAATGAGGTTGTTTGCTATTTTACAATCCAATTATTATGGTTTATTCAAGGTCAGCTCAACTATTAGGTAAATTGATGCCTCGGGCACCTATTCTTAGGTGCCTTAAATTTAGACGCGGAGGTCATTTGGTAACAAAATCAGTTAACTAATAAGTCAATTCCACTACAATGGAATTTCACATTCCAAGTAAAAAGCTTCAGTTTTGTCTAGAAATAGAAAGAAGTATTGCACTGGAAGAAAATGCCTATGTGTTATATTTACCACTGTGAACCATGACAGTGATCTTTTGAAGACCTCTCAATTAAAAAAAAATATTGCTGTGTTAATTAAATTTAGCTGTTACTTGCTGTCATCCTGGAAGATCAGTAAAAATGTACGTATCTATTACAAAAACTTACCACGCATGGACGATACACTGGATTTGGGCTGAACAACATTCTGTGTTGACGTTTTCACTGGGAAAGAAAAGAAATATAGGCTTAAGATTCTTGTACTTCTCAACAGACTTTCTCAAAGCAATTAGAAAAAAAGATGACTTGTTGAATTATATACTTTGGAACAATTTGTTAAGAGAACAATGATGAACAAGCAGATAAAAACAAAGGAATTTTAAAGTCCTTCTTGTTGCCACTTACCATCAGATGACTTGACGCTTTCCACTGATTTTTTTGTCGCCAGTTTCTCTATCTGAAATGCAGAGAGAGTCAAGCGTAGGTGCAGATTTAGAAAGGAGACGACTATTATCATTTGTGGGGTGGTACCAGCTAAATCCCTGCTGTTTTGACAAGGTGAGGTGGGCATGTGCAGGCCTTATAGGGCAGGGTGGGATTGTTTTGTCCCCTGACCTAAGAGCCCCTGGTGGCTGGACAACCAGCCCAGCTGCACCCTCCCCACCCACAAAGAGGCGGCAGCTTGATTCAAACATCTGAAGCCAGCCCCTGCCAGAGCTCTGGTAACGACTGCTGGAGTGGCCCAGGGGCTGGAAAGAGGGAGAGGGACCTTTGTTCCTGCCTAATGTGAACCCTGGGACGCGGGTGGCGCTGTGGGTTAAACAACAGAGCCTAGGGCTTGCCGATCAGAAGGTCGACGGTTCGAATCCCCATGACGGGGTGAGCTCCCGTTGCTCGGTCCCAGCTCCTGCCAACCTAGCAGTTCGAAAGCACGTCAAGGTGCAAGTAGATAAATAGGTACCACTCCGGCAGGAAGGTAAACGGCGTTTCCGTATGCTGCTCTGGTTCGTCAGAAGTGGCTTAGTCATGCTGGCCACATGACCCGGAAGCTGTACGCCGGCTCCCTCGGCCAGTAAAGCGAGATGAGCGCCGCAACCCCAGAGTTGGTCACGACTGGACCTAACGGTCAGGGGTCCCTTTTACCTTTTAATGTGAACCCTAACATGATCAAACCTGGCTTGATCATAGGAGGGAGGTTGCTTTAAGTGCTCTGAACATCCCATCAATATAATGCCACTGGATGCTATTTCTGTGCCAGTTTAAGGTCTGTTACAGCCAATGCTATTGAATCCGTCTGTAATACTAAAACTGTTTCCCAGTTTGACCAACTGAGTTGATCTATTGAATGGGAGAGAGGGGATTCCCCCCCTCCTGTTTTTTAACCTTGACAAAGTAGCTCCTTCCTATTCCCCCCTCCTTGTCCTGGGGGCAGGAAGTGACGCACTAGCTAGTTTGCTGGCCAGGCAAGAGTGGTGGCTGCTTGCTCCGGTGACAGTTCTGCGCAGCATCCTTAGACCAAGGTGGTGAATAAACTCACCAGGATATCACTTCCCCGGACAAGGGAGGGAGAGAGGGGCAATAGGAAGGAGGCTTTTTGCAAAACAAAAACACAGCACAGGTTTCCCTTCAGAAATTTTCAACCAACCGCTCCCTTCCCAAATTGGAAAAATAACCCTCTCTTCCCATATTTCCCCCCTGTGAATGGGGCTGCAAATGGGGGGAAGTCATTCTCTAACAGCCCTAAGCCCTGCAGAAATCAGGATCACGGTTTGTAAGAATACAATTTAAAACGTACGGGTTGGTAAAATATGGTAAGGTAAAGGGACCCCTGACCATTAGGTCCAGTCGTGACCGACTCTGGGGTTGCGGCGCTCATCTCGCTTTATTGGCCGAGGGAGCCGGCGTACAGCTTCCAGGTTATGTCGCCAGCATGACTAAGCCACTTCTGGCAAACCAGAGCAGCGCACGGAATCGCCGTTTACCTTCCCGCAGGACCTATTGATCTACTTGCACTTGGACGTGCTTTTGAACTGCTAGGTTGGCAGGAGCAGGGACCGAGCAACGGGAGCTCACCCCGTCGCGGGGATTCGAACCACCAACCTTCTGATCGGCAAGTCCCAGGCTCAGTGGTTTAACCCACAGCGCCACCCGTGTCCCTAAAATATGGTACAGCAGCTGAAAATAGATCTGTATTTTTCAAGGGTTTGTTTCGTGTTGTTTCGAAGAGGAATCTTCCACTCTGCTTTGGGGGTTTCAATACGTAACAATATTAAATGAACAGACCTGCTGCTTCTGCGTAGTGATGAGTTCATTCTGCTCCTGCAGCTTCTGGCCTAGTTCTTCTATCCTCTTCTTATAGAAGATGTTGCTTGCACTGCAGGTCTCACTCCGTGCTTTGTACTTCTCAATTTGGGACGTAAGCTGAAGGTGTCAAATAGGGAATAATAAATTGATCCTCAATGAGACCTAAAATATTCCAACATTTCACTACTTTAAATAAAAATGTTTATTGGATTAGTTCCTATTTTCTTTCATTTAAAAGTTCCAGCTCAAAGGACTAATAGCAAATGGAAATCCATAACCCTATGGAGCTCATTCTCTTTTTATAAAGCAACAGACAACCTTCACATGAGGATGAATGGCTGAGGGGCTTTTTTGTCTTTAAATAGATGCTTAGGTTATCTATCAATTCTTGCTGCTACAGTGGTACCTCAGGTTACATACGCTTCAGGTTACAGACTCCGCTAACCCTGAAATATTGCTTCAGGTTAAGAACTTTGCTTCAGGATGAGAACAGAAATCGTGCAGCAGCGGCACGGCGGCAGCAGGAGGCCCCATTAGCTAAAGTGGTGCTTCAGGTTAAGAACAGTTTCAGGTTAAGTACAGTGGTGCCCCGCAAGACGAATGCCTCGCAAGACGAAAAACCCGCTAGACAAAAGGGTTTTCCGTTTTTCGCTTCACAAGACGAATTTCCCTATGGGCTTGCTTCGCAAGATGAAAACGTCTTGCGAGTCTTGCGATTTTTTTTGCTCCCCCCCCCCTTTTTCTAAGCCACTAAGCCGCTAATAGCGCTAAGCCACTAAGCCGCTAATAGGGCTGCTTCGCAAGACGAAGAAACCACTAGACGAAGAGACTCACGGAACGGATTATTTTCGTCTTGCGAGGCACCACTGTACGTACCTTTGGAACGAATTAAGTACTTAACCCAAGGTACCACTGTATTATTATTCTTGCCCTTGTTTGGGAAGTTTATCTCTTCCGTGGGCATCCTAAGGGTGCACAGACTCTTATAACAGACAGAAAAAGTCGTGTGCAGCTCTTGATGATGCTATTTCAAAAAGAAAGCGATACAAGGAGCTAGAAATAAATTCACTGAAGACCCACCTTGATACCTAGCATGTTTGCCAGCTGTCTCCTGAACCTTCCAGCAGACTGCATCTGAAAGTCATTGTGACATCCAAAACACCCGTGAGGGAGGGGGGTGGGGCATAAAGGGAGTATTTCTCCAGACATGCCTGGCTTTGTTGACTGGAAGTTCCAGAGATGGGGCAAAACATCCAATGTGGATTTGTTTCTGACATACCAGTATCCTCCTTGGGGATCACCATGGGAACAAAGCACATCACAGACCAGACAGGTAAGTTCAGTGACCTAGCAGGCTACGGTCTTCGCAGCACTGTAATTGCTTTTTGCCATTTTAATTTTGTTAGCTGCCCTCGTGCATTTCAATATAGGGTATAAATTAAGTAAGTAAATAAGCAAACAGCCACACACAGAAATGAAGACATAGTGGCTGGAGAAAGAGGGGGAAAACCATTCAGAAGAAGCCTTTAAAAGAACAGGGAAAGAAATTACAATTTTCAGTTGCATATAGTTGGCATAAAGAGAAGACAGAGTGAAGGAGGAGAGGACAGGTTAGGATACCCTAAAACCTGTGTAAGTCACCCCCCCCCCAAATCAGGCCTCAAAGCCTCAGGCACTTTTCAAATTGCACTTTTCAAATTATTTTCTCTAAGGCTAAAAAGCATTTAGCTAAGCATCTTGCTATCTTACTCTGCTGTAGCAAAAGCTGAGCTGAGAAGAACAATGCCTTTTCGCTTCTCAGGCTAGCTGACCTTGCCAAACAGTACATTCAACTTGCAACTTTTCTTTCCTGGGAAGGGCGCCAAGAGTCCAAGAGTCCCAAAGACAGGAGCTTTTTGTTCATGCTCAGGAAACTCATCATGGGGCAGGGCTCCTGAGGAGGGGGAGAAAGGGGAGGGAACTGGAGGGGAATATATACTCTGTGCAAATGGCTGTGAACTCGTGCTTGTTTGTGAATCTATCACACTTGCTCCTTATACCAGCCCGGATGGTAGAAATAAAGCTTTTTCTCTGAAACTATTCCTTGAGTGTCTGCTGACTCCCATTTCCCAGGCGCAAAGCTCTTCTCACCCGAGGCTAAAAAGGCTACAAGAGAATGGTCGTGTGGGTAAAAATAACACTGATTCTGATCCAATACATTACAGGCAGAGTCCTTTTTTCAAAAGTAAAAACCCAGCCTAATTGGTTTGCTGGGGAAGGGGGAACATGGGGAGGGAACAAATCCAGTCTCCCATTCTATTCCTCAAGCAACTGACCGGTGGGATTTTAGCTTTTTACACGTGACTCCATGCAATGTTTAGCTAGGAAGATTATGCTGATCCGTGGCACAAAAAATAGCCGTTAAGAATGGATGAAATTGGAAGTCTGATGGCATGGCTGATGGGATATCAGACACTGATTAATCACCATGAAGGTTTGTTGTGGTTTGGTGTATGGAGTTATTAAACAATGGTTTAGTACGTCTGCACTTGCTCAAGAATGAAAGGTCTGGCGTTACCTTGTTTTCTTCACAAAGTCCAGTCCTGGAGGGGAGTCATCCCTCAATTCTGTCCTGTAGCCAAACGTGAGACAAAATGTATCTAGAGGAGTATAAATAGAGAAGGGGAGTAGGAGTGTAGGAGCCTGAGCAGGCCAAGCAACAAGGGTGAAGGAATTGCTGGCTTTGTGAAAGTGTTACAAGGAGCGCCAAGCTTAGGCACAAGGCCTGTACGTGCCAAAACAAAAGGAACTTCCATGGGAAGCAACCGATGTTCCATTCTGTGTCGGACACTGGAAGCATCCAACAATGGGATGTGCATTCTGAATGAGGTAAGGACTACATGCTGGAACATTTGCCCTCCCAAAGACAGCTTCTGCTAAGGCAAAGCAGTCTATTTTGTAGTGCCTGGAAAACATGTCAGCTGCAGCCCAGGTGAAGTGATACTCTGGTTTCTCTTCAGATCATATAAAAAAGTGACTGTAACATACAACAGTGTTGGTAGATGGTGTGTCTTATATAGGCAACACATGCCTTGATTCACTTTCTAGCACTGGAGTGGGGGGGGGGAATCTCCTTACAGATGCAGGACGAAAAGACATCAACAGATTTTCATTTTGTCAGAAGGCAGTGGTGCCTTTAATACATGCCTTAAGTAGCCTGCAAACATTCAGTGTGTACCAGGTCTGCTCAGAGGATGGGCTGGAGGACAAAGAGGGTAGAAGAAGCTCCTGAAACCTGTAGATGACATAATATGGATGTAATAAAGGTCTGGTAAGAATATTATTATGTCCTTAGAGTTGAGTTGCCAGATCTTGGCAGAACTGATGACAGGTTTGACACCTGTCTGCAAAGAATAGTTGGTTTGAGGTCTAGATTGGTGTCTTGTTGTAGGAAGAGAAGGAGCGTCTTGTTGCTAGTGGACTTCTGGTCACTATTCTCCTACAGCATCTGGTGAAGGCTGGGCAAAAGCTAGGAGGGCCATCTGACAGAATATAGCTTGAGGCACGTGTGGAACTCAGGGATTTGGAAGAGTGAAAGAAGATGCTTCAAGAATCAGGAAGAGGTTAGGCCGGAGGCAAAGCACAGGTAACAAGGAGAAGAAAGAACTTGCTGTGTCCTGGGGAAAAGCTGAGAAAAGACCAGCAACAGACTTGGGGGGGGGGAGAGGTCACATGATTACGTCCCTTCCTGGGTGAATATGACATCATAACTTCTGCCGATGCCTCCAATACCAAAGCACAGAATCCTAAGTTATTTCTAACTGTGTTCTTCTCAAGGGCTAGGGCAAGACCAGGTCCACACCCTAACCAGTTGGTTGTATTGCAAAGAGTCAACCTCTGTACTGAAGTTTTTGATGCAAGGACTGAATGTGAAGCCTTCAACGAGAATGTTCAAATGAATTCTACAATGCAGCAAGATTTTAACACCCATTCTGAACAGTTTGCCAGGTCCTTAGATAATGTCGTGAGAGCAGATTGGCTTGGATCCTGAGGTAAGGGAGTTAAAGAAAGTTTTCTGTCCCCTTCTCCCCTGCAGCCCCTCTTCCCACATTGTTTGGGAGTGCCCTCCCTTCCTCCCGAGAGACTCTTAAGGGTCAAAGACGGCAGAAGTGGGAAGGAGAGAAGGAGAAACATTCTTTCCACTAACTTCTTTAGGATGACTTATTTTAGGACCCAAGCCAATGTCTATTCTCCCACCCCTTTAATCACAAACAGTCTTGTTTACCATGCGTTTTTCACTGCCATGTTCTTCTTTAAGAGCTTGTAGTTTAGCCTTCCACTCAGTGTCCTACGTAAGACAGAATAAAGTTAATTGTATTAACGTACTCGTATTTCAGTTTATATGATGTGTGTATGTGTGTCTCCACCAGAAAAGCAGCAAACTGGAGGTTAAACTAACCCATTTCCAGCCCTGTGAGAAGCATGGGGAGTGTTGACGCAACACACTTACACACTGCAGCCGACACACAGTTGCGACACAGTTTGGAAAGCTCTGATCTAATATGTACAGGGTAATAACACTCTTTTCCACAAACTAGAAACAAGGCAACTGGAATGGAACTTGCGTTAAATTACCTGTTTTTCAAAAGCCTGCACTGCTTCCTGCTGATCTACAGCACTCTGGTGTTTCTCTTCTGGAAATTCATAGCTATCTTTTAAGGTGCCCAAATTAGATTTCAGGTGATTGTTAGATTTCTGGACTTCTAATAGATGCTAAGAGCGGGGGGGGGGGGGGGAGAGACAGAAAATGATAAAAGGCTAAATCCAAATATGTACTGTACTAGAGGATGGAAATTTGCAAACAACAACAGGCACACCAATCAGCAATTTCACAGGCTGGGTGTACGTGCTCTGCCTTCTTTCCCCTGAAGACATAACTTGCATGATTCCTTCCTTGAATATTTAGGAATCCACCCACTACCATTTTTTGAACATTGATCCCAATCCAACCCTGTAAATTCAATGACCTCTTAGAAAAGCAGTAATAATGCAAAAGAGCTGTTTGGTAGTGGCAGGGTAGAGAATAGAGGTAGCCCCTTGCTGTCCCTCCATAACTGTGATGGGTGGCATTGCTCTGTTAAGAAGGTTTTATGTTCACATAGCCAAGCTGCATGAGTCAGAGGAAACATGCACATGTTTGCATAAAAGAGCCTCATGCAGCTAAGGATATGTATGGAAAACCTGGTTCCTTGCAAGTATGGTCTTTGGTTGGATCACGGCAAGTGTTTAAATGACATAGCAATATTTTGGTCCTTGGGACTGAAATTAGATTTATGAATATACCAAGGTTTTTATAAAGCTCTGCTCTTAGAAAATCCTAAGTGTCTTTCCCCAGAAGCTCACATCTTGAACTTTAAGGAAGTGATCAAGTCAAGACCCCTTGAAGGTGTGCGCAGGCCAACTGAAACCCCTTCTCAATTACTTACATTTTCTAATTCTGTATTTTTCGCAGTTAGCTCTTTAAATTCCTTCATAAACATCTCTTTCATCTTCTCTAGTTCACTGGCCAGTTTGTCTTTTTCTTCTTCTTTCCATTTGTGAAATAACTGCCGAATCTCCTCCTCCTTGGATCTGTGTTCGTCATACTCCTGAAATTGCTTTAAAATGTTATTCTGAGAATTCTCTCAAGGATACAACAAACCGAACAGTTCCAAGCAACACACAGGTCCTAGGCTGAGAAATTTTGAGTTTCATTCTTTTACTTTTTATGGTTGGCTTTACTTTATACATTTGTATCCTGCTTTTCTTCCATCAGGGAACTCAAGGCAGCGTGCACAGGGGTTCCTTCTTAGTGAGAATCAGCAGCTTTAAAAAGGTTACTGACTCCTGATAGTATCTCTCTTCTAAAATATCTCTGACTCACTTAACACTGAAAAATAATGGATCTTTTTAGAAAACATGGCTAGCTTGCTAGCACAAGGCATTGGTTATTGTTGCTTCTATTTAAACTTCCTGAGCATCCTCCTTGTCCCATCACGGATGACCCGGACATTTGTCTTCTGCCCTGCTGCTTCCAATTTTAACAAACCCTCTTGCTTCCACCTTCATCCCAGTCCTAATTAATTCATTTTGCCTCAGCTTGTACTCGGCTTTGAGATTTCTTGGCTTCTGACTGCTTTTGCTGCTTCATCCATCTGGCTTATCACTTGCTGCACTTTGACTTTTGCTCTACCTGCAAGGGGCAGGGATCTCAAACCAGAGATCTAGCAGAGTGTCTGACTTTCTGGCCAACTGATTTGACAGAGCAGGGAGCAGTTGACTAGCTCTATTAGCTCTATGGTGGGCTGTAGCACCACCCACTGCAGACGACCAGATTGTGTTTTGCCTCAAGTGGTGAAATGGGATGTACCACCTCTGACCTCAGGATTCCAGAATTTACAGCTGTTAGTCTTGAGGGAAGGCAGGCAAGGACCCACAGCCCAGGTTGGGCTCGCTAGCTCGGGAAGGAGGTGGGTGATTCCTCAAGCTGGAGTAGGCTCAGATGAGCGTCACATGCCTCATCAAGCCCAGAAGGTATAACAGGAAAGCCCATCCTGGCCAGGCCTGGGTCCTGGCCAGATTCTAGTACTACTGGTACTACATACTACAGAGTATGCCCTACCTTAGACAACTTGACCATGTGAGCGTGTTGCTCAGCTTCTAACTGAGACCTGGTGAGCTGTAACTGCTCCTTCAGCTTGTTGATCTCCTCCTGTAATTGACCCGTCTGCACTTTTTGCTTCTGATCTATTAAAAGAAATTTTTTCTTATTATTTTGGGCAACACAGCTCTTCCTACAGAGGCACTTCAGGAATGCATTTCCAAATTCCACTCTGCAAACAGCGATGCCAGGTGTATTCTGCCTCAGAGCAGTATCAGCCAAAGGCGACAAGAAGGAGCTCTGTGAGCTACTTTGAGAGTCTAAGTTCTACTGAAATGTTTTGTTCAAAACATTCCCGAAACATTGGCCTGGTGGAGTGGATAGAGACCCTGGGTTCTGAGCAAGATCCAGACCTACTAAGGAAGTGCTGACCTGGCTCTTGGGTCAGGATTCCTTGACAATGATTTTTTTAAAGAATGTCAAACGGACAAATATCCAGATGTGAACCTGTTACATTTCTACCTAAAGGTAAAGGTAAAGGGACCCCTGACCATTAGGTCCAGTTGTGGACGACTCTGGGGTTGTGGCGCTCATCTCGCTTTATTGGCCGAGGGAGCCAACGTACAGCTTCCAGGTCATGTGGCCAGCATGACTAAGCCACTTCTGGCGAACCAGAGCAGCACACAGAAACACCGTTTACCTTCCCACTGGAGCGGTACCTATTTATCTACTTGCACTGTGATGTACTTTCGAACTGCTAAGTTGGCAGGAGCAGGGACAGAGCGACAGGAGTTCACCCCGTCGCAGGGATTTGAACCGTCGACCTTCTGATCGGCAAGTCCTAGGCTCTGTGGTTTAACCCACAGCGCCACCCGCGTCCCATACATTTCCACCTAGATTTGCATTTATTAAATATATAAAAAAAGAATAAATCAATTCTCAGTTTACTTTAGTAGTTCCATCAAGTTGCCCAATTAGTCATGACCAAATTTTACTGATGTCAGTGAAACAGCTAACTAAAATCCCATTGCTTTCAGTGGGAGTTACTTATGATTAACTATAGCTGGATTGGAGCTATATCTCAAAATCACTCTTGTTCTTTGAGTGGCACTGCTGTTCCTTGTTTGCTTTTTCACCCGGGGGTGTGTGTGTGTGTGTATGAATTACACTGCCCATTCTGAGATTTCCTCTCCTTTCATAACTCACCAGAGTTTGGTTCCTTTGCGTGGCGACGTTGCAAATGACTGTGCAGGAAGGAATAGTTCATAAAAGCTTTGTCACAAAATTGACACTGTAAAATAAATGTAGTTTTGTTTAAACAACAACAGAAATCCACCTATACAACTATGGTAAGAAATTAGGTCTGTATATTTCACTGTTAGTCCAGGGCCCATTCTCAACGTAGGTTTGTATTCTTGAGAAAATATGTAAAGCACTTAAATAGACTTAGCAGTAACAGACAAAACACACAAATCAATCATCAAATACCTCTGTTATTTTACTCATTTCTCAATACATAGTTTCAAAGGTGACAAAGTACATGGCCCAAAAATACACAAACTACTGGAAGCACTAATGGTGCTAATGCTGCATTTGCCAACTAGACACGTTTTATATTAGGAGGTGCATTTTATATTAAGATCCCTGCATGTGGGATACCTAAGGGGAGACGTTCCACCCGGCAAATTGGCTCTCTGCATGAAAAATCATTGGAGAGACTATAAAGAACAGCAGTAATGTCCTGTTCAGGATGTAGGGGTGGAGAAGCATAAATCAAAATCCATCCCTTCTTGTGTTGAACAACTGATCAGCACTATCACATGAGCAGTCCTGGCTGCTAGATGAGGGACAGGCACAAGGCTCTAACTGGATCATGAATGGGTTTGATCCTGCTATCAGTTATGCATATGCTAGCATCACCAGTCTCTGGGCCTTATACTCCAGTAACTAGGCACAAGATTACAGCTTTGGAGAAGAATTAAGTACCTTTATCCATTTGTTTATTGCTTTAATCTCCCACCTTTTTCTTCAGTTAGCTCAAGGAGGGGCACATTGGTTCTTCCTCTCCTTATTTAATCCCCACAACAACCCTATGAGGTAGGCTAGGCTGAGAAGCAGAGACTGGCTCAAGGCCACACAGTGAACTTCATGGCTGAGTGAGGATTCGAACTCAGGTCTCCTAAGTCCTAGTCCAACTCCAACACTCTATCCAACACTCTGGCCTGAACCTAACAGTTGCACTGGGAAATACATGTTTAGGATGTGCCTGTTTCTGGGCTAAACCATCATATTATTCCAGTGTTATAGGAACAGGCACCATCAACCCCCCCCCCCAAATATCACCTTTTCAAAAATTGTGCCAGCAATTGAGAAAAGCAGTGTCACTACTATGGCTACTAGAATGTGAAACAAAATGAAGGCAGCGGCTGCTATCTCAAAGCTAGGACATCTAATAAAGGTAAAAGGTAAAGGACCCCTTGACGGTTAAGTCCAGTGAAAGGTGACTATGGGGTTGCAGAGCTCATCTTGCTTTCAGGCCGAGGGAGCTGGCATTTGTCCACAGACAGCTTTCCGGGTCATGTGGTCAGCATGACTAAACCACTTCTGGCGCAACGGAACACTGTGACAGAAACCAGAGCACACAGAAATGCCGTTTACCTTCCTGCCGCAGTGGTACCTATTTATCTACTTGCACTGGTGTGCTTTCGAACTGCTAGGTTGGCAGGAGCTGGGACAGAGCAATGGGAGCTCACCCCATCGCGGGGATTCGAACTGCCGAACTTTTGATCAGTAAGCCGAAGAGGCTCAGTGGTTTAGACCACAGCGCCACCCACGTCCAACATCTAGTAAAGGACATCTAGGACTTGTTCTACTTAGGGACAGGTGGACGTAACACCAGAGCAGATTTTGCTGGTGCAAAAGGGAGATTATTATGCTTCTGATTTGTAGACACATGCTCTCAAAATCTGTTACTTTTTTAATGTGCTTCTAACTTGCACATCTTCAACGACATGCTACTATACATTTAGGAGGATCAGCTCGTATGATGTGAAATGTGTGTAATGGCTCAGCGGATTCAGAATCAGATTCTTGTTGCTGAATTCCCAATCCCCATCAACTATTTAAAATCCTGCAACTGATAGCTGCTATGTGATTAAATATAAATTCCTTGAAAGAGCTACTAAGGGCATAAATAATTAAGTTACATTTTTGTTGGATAAATGCAAGAACATGCAAAGCTTGGATAGTCAAGGACTGAATGCCAGGGAAATCCCAGCAAGCCACAGATATCTTCTGCTGAAACATATCAGGATTTAATGTATTAAATCAGCTGTGAAATATCTTTATCCAAACAAACACTCATGTTGAAATGCTGCCAATTCCATGTAGCGGTTGCATGCTTTACCCTTCATTCAATTACTTTAGCTCATGGTACATTAGTGTTTTATGTTTATTGGGGATAGGTCTTGCATGGAGCTACTGAAAGGACCTTATTCATAAATAAACATCGATTATATGAAACTGCAAGGCTTTCCCACACAGTGAAAAGGGATATTGTTTGGAGTTGGGCTCCTTAAAGCAACTGCATTTCAACATTAGCCCCATTCACTTCTTGTCCTGTTCTCAATGGATATGATGAAAACTACCAACACACGTCCCATAAAGTGAATACTTTATAACCAGAGCTCTGAGATGTACCAAAACATACAGAACTTATGCTAATGCAGCGTCCTAAAACATGATTATCCTGAGTTCTGAAAATCTAAAAAAGACACAGCAGTAACACCACTTTTAGGCTAGTCTTATTGTTACTAAGTATTGTCTAGGGAGCAGAACTCTATTAGCCCTCTGTATTTAGTTTAACACAGGAGTCTATGTACCCCATCTAAGGTAATGTTAATCAATTGTTGGGGTTCAGAGTAACATTGTGGGCATCCATCTGTCTCAGGAGACAATGGAAGAGTGCACCTTCGGGGATTAAGTTAAACTGGAGGAGCGCCTGCTACACAATGGAGAGACTGATACACAATGTGGCACCTGTAGCAACAAAATCAGACTTTCATGTGCCCCACCTGCAATAAAACATGTCTCTCCTGTATCATTCTTCCATTGTCTCCTGAGATATATGGGTGCCATATGTTGTCTGGGCAGCCCAGGACCTTCATATACAATGCCCAGGCTTGCACCCCTGGAGGTCATTTCAGTGCTGCAAATGCTTCTTCTTTGGCGATCACTCATAGCCAAGTAAGATTGGAAACCCAGCTAGGTGGGCGGGGTACAAATATTATTACTATAATTATTATTATGGATACACTACCAAGATCTAAGATAGATTTAGATTTTGCAATTGAAGATAATCAAAGACGGCTTTGTTGCTGAGAGCTGCGATAAGCCTAGATCTTGCGATCTGAGATAAATCTAGCTGTTTTGTGCTTTTCATTTTTCCTACCTGATCTTTGAAAAACTTAAGTTTGCAATTTTGATTTAAATCTAGCAGTTTTGTGCTTTTTGTTTTCCCTATCTGTTTTTTGGTTTTTTTTGGAAAAACCTAAGTTTGCAATTTTGGTGTGTGCGCGTGTGCAAGCAGTTTAGCCTTGCCTAAGGACTGAGAACTCCCAGAAGTGCAAGCTGGATTTCAAAGGAGCAGGGGAACCAGAGACCAAATTGCAAACATGCTCTGGATTATGGAGAAAGCTCTACTTCTGCTTCATTGACTATGCAAAAGCCTTTGACTGTGTCACCCACAGCAAACTATGGCAAGTTCTTAAAGAAATGGGAGTGCCTTATCACCTCATCTGTCTCCTGAGAAATCGCTATGTCAGACAAAAAGCTACAGTTAGAACTGGATATGGAACAACTGATTGATTCAAAATTGGGAAAAGAGTAAGACAAGGCTGTATATTGTCTCCCTGCTTATTTAACTTATATGCAGAATTCATCATGAGAAAGGCTGGGCTGGATGAATCCCAAACCGGAATTAAGATTGCCGGAAGAAATATCAACAACCTCAGATATGCAGATGACACAACTTTTATGGCAGAAAGTGAGGAGGAATTAAAGAACCTTTTAATGAGGGTGAAAGAGGAGAGCGCAAAATATGGTTTGAAGCTCAACATCAAAAAAATGAAGATCATGGCCACTAGTCCCATCACCTCCTGGCAAAAAGATGGGGAAGAAATGGAGGCAGTGAGAGGTTTTACTTTCTTGGGCTCCATGATCACTGAAGATGGTGACAGCAGTCATAAAATTAAAAGACGCTTCCTTCTTGGAAGAAAAGCGATGACAAACCTAGACACCATCTTAAAAAGCAGAGACATCAACTTGCCGACAAAGGTCCATATAGTTAAAGCTATGGTTTTCCCCAGGAGTGATGCATGGAAGTGAGAGCTGGACCATATAGAAGGCTGATCGCTGAAGAATTGATGCTTTTGAATTCTGGTGCTGGAGGAGACTCTTGAGAGTCCCATGGACTGCAAGAAGATCAAATCTCTCCATTCTGAAGGAAATCAGCCCTGAGTGCTCACTGGAAGGACAGATCGTGAAGCTGAGGCTCCAAGACTTTGGCCACCTCATGAGAAGAGAAGACTCCCTGGAAAAGACCCTGATGTTGGGAAAGATGGAGGGCACAAGGAGAAGGGGACGACAGAGGACGAGATGGTTGGACAGTGTTCTCGAAGCTGCAAACATGAGTTTGACCAAACTGCGGGAGACAGCAGAAGAAGACAGGAGTGCCCGGTGTGCTTTGGTCCATGGGGTCACGAAGAATCAAACACAACTAAACGACTAAACAACAACAACAAGAAGACCTTCCCAAGTTGATGAACCCTCACTTTCCTCTACGGCACGCGCAGAAGCTGCCTTCTTGACTGTTAGACCCACTACTGGTTTCGTCTGCTCAATCCTCCGGAGCCTGTCTTTGCATGCAGTGGAAGGACGAGATGGTTGGACAAGCTACCAACATGAGTTTGACCAAACTGTGGGAGGCAGTGGAAGACAGCAGTGCCTGGCGTACTCTGGTCCATGGCGTCACGAAGAGTCGGACACGACTAAACAACAAAAGGGCGCATGGCGGGTTGGCCACTGGCCCTGGGGCACCTTGCCAGGAGCCAAGTGCAGATAAACTGGTGCAACCCCCCCTCCTGCCCCCCACACCCACCCATGCGCCCACCTGGTGGCAAGCGGCGCCGGCCTGGAGCATCATCTGCTGGGTGCCGATGATCTTCTTGCGCCTCTTGCACTCCTCCCGGAGCAGCCGGGCCTCCTGGGCTCCCCGGGCCACGTCCTTGGCCAGCAGGTCCCGGTGGGCGTCGGCGGCCCTGAGCAGCTCCTGGGTGGCGCGGAGCTGGGCGCTCAGGTAGTCCTGGCAGTGCAGCAGGTACTCGAGGCTCAGCTGCGCCAGGCGGAGGAGCCTCAGCAGCAGCGGGTCGGCGGGCGCCTGGCACCGCGGGCAGCGCTCCCGGCCGGCGTCGCAGAAGGCCACGTGCGCCAGGTGCTCCTGCAGCGCCGCCACGTCCACCTCGGCCGCCACCCGCTCCACGTCCACCGCGCTCAGGCGCCGCCAGTCCGGGGGGTCCAGCCGCGGGCGGAACTGGAAGGCGGGGACGGACTCGGCCGGGGCAGCCATGCTCGAGAACAGCAGCGCGCTAGGGCTGAGGGGGGAGGAGGAGGCCCGTTAGTCGGCAGTGGGGCCCGGCCGCCCTCCCCCGGGGTCGCCTCGCATCCCCCGGCCGGCCCCGCGTGAGGGGAAGGCGGGAAGGAGCCTCCTGCGCGGCCCGGCGGATCTAGGCCCAGCGGCCGCCTGGCGCTTCTGGCGGCGCGTCGCGCGCGTTGCTATGGGAACGGGGCCTGGTCGACCGCGGCGCGCCTAGGCTCCTTCGAGGCCAGGTGAGGCGGTCGCGAGCCCTCGTATGAGGATGGAGGGGGAAGGGGCGCCCAGGGTCATCTAGTCCAACCCCCCGCCCCGCACACAACATACACCACACATACACACAAACACACAATCCCCAACAACAACCCCCCACAGGGAAGTTCTCTCGCCCCATGTCCAATTCGAAACCGGACCCTGCAAACCCGCTGCAAGCTAGGAGGTAACTAGCCGGACGGATTCTCCCTCCTTTTATATACTGTACAGTGAGTATATATATTTAATTTTTATTGCATTTTCTGTTTTAAAATTTAAAGTACTCATTTTTACATCCTTAAAATATCCATGACTCCCCTTCTCTTTCCATGGTTCATTTTACATATCTTATATCCTTGCATGTTTTACAAAAACAGTGCTTTTTTTCTAAAATAAAAAAATGTTTAGGGGTACTCTCAGTTTGACTCAAGAAAGTCACAATTTTATAGTTCAAATCGGGAATAATAAATACAGTAAATGGACAAAAGTACAAGGATTCACAAAATGTTTAGGGGCATGCGTACCCCTGCACTGACCAAAACTATACCAATCTGTTTTCCATTATTACATCCACCAAAACTTATTTACACTGTTGAATTTATCTTAACGCTGCCAGCGTTTTCAGCTGTACACAATAATTTCCTATATATTCAATAAAGGTTTTCCAATCTTCTCTAAACATATTATTATCTTCCTCCTGGCTCTACACAGCCTGCAAAATAGCTGTGCCCTTTTAAAATGTGGCTCTTATTTTGGAGGGGGGGCGGTGTTACTGGGTGGTTGTTTTTATTTTGATTATATATATTGTGGTTTTTATGTTGATCTTTTCTGTGAACCGCCCCAAGACCTCCGGGTATAGGGTGATATATAAATTTGATTAACAACAACAACAACAATAATCTATTGAGTTTAGTTAGATTTACTTCTAAATATAGAGAGGCTTGCACTGTTAAGTCCCCTGTCGCTGTCCCCCGTCCCTCAGTGAATTTTAGCACCCTGAGGAGTCAAGTGTGGGTTTCCTGCACAGCACTACACTTGCCTTCAATTACAATCTCACTAATTAATGGAGAAGGGATTTTAATCTGCAGATTTATATGCAAGTTAATTAAGCCACCAGTTATACAGATTAAAGCTGGCAGTCTTAATCAATGCAGACGTAACTTTAAGATGCACAGATCGATTACACAGCTTACTAAGGGCCCAGTGCGGGAAATAAAATTGCAAAACTAAACAATTTGCTTGGGAATTCGTATTGGAGACATTGGGATTTGCTTCTAATGCGGGCTAAAATTCAAATGCTGCACGCCTGTGCAAGCTTTATTCATTGCAACCAGGAGGTGGGATGTTTAGCTAGGCCAAAAAAGAAATGTGTTCCTGGAATCGGGCATGTTAAATGCATTTTAATTTTTGCAACAAACTTCTGGCCACCTTCATAAGAAGACAGCAGCGGGGAGAGCCAGGCCTCCAGGGCCTAAGTGAAGAAGTCCCATCTACCTTTTCCCTGCTTGGCCTGCCCCAGCTGCAAAGAAAGGAGCTTTACAACGAGACTCTGGGATGTGTAGTTGCGCAAGGAATCATGGGACCATAGAATTGTAGAGTTGGAATGGACACGAGGGTCATCTAGTCCAACCCCCCGTGTTCTACCGACTGAGCTATCTCAGCATAAGAGTGTTGGTGGGGGGGGAAATTGAAAACATATATGTAATCGAAATCAGAAATATATATATATAATTTTTATTAACTTTTCTGTTGCACAATTTAAAATACTCATTTTACATCCTTCAGATATCATTGACTTACGGTACTTCCTTCTTTTTCCATGGTTCATTTTATTTATCATAAATCCCTGCATATTTTACAAAAACGATAGCATTCAGTATTCCCTTATTGCATCCATCAAAACTTATTTACACTGTTGAGTTTATTTTAATGCTGCCAGCGTTTTCAGCTGTAATTATTTTCCATATATTCAATAAACGTTTTCAAATCTTCTTTAAATGTATGTCCTTCTTGTTCTCTTATTCTACATGTTAAGTCTACAAGTTGTGCATATTCTGTCGACTTGAGTTGCCAATCATCTTTGGTTGGGACCTCCCTCCTTTTCCATTTTGGGGCTAATAAAACATGGGCCACAGTAGTCGCATGCATAAATAACCTTTTGTTTATGAAATCAAAAATCTGCTGCAGTAACTGGTGCTATCCCAGCAGGCACTCAGCTCCACAGCAAGAGCCCAGAGACAGGCATGCACTATTGCTAAGCAGCCACAACAACACCCCCTCCCCTGTCCTGGGGGTTCTCTTAGCTTGTGCCCAGGCAGTGTCCTTCAATATCCGCTTGCTGAATTGCACCTCCTTCAGTAAAAGACGCTGGGTGGGTTGCATTGCAGCCTCGCTTGCACAGCCTCCACCCCCTGCTTGTCCCCAAGGGGATTGGATTCCCCCTCTCCTCTTTGCATGCACCCCAACCCAACTGGCTGCTTCTCTGGACTCATTTCTCTTCCCCGCCTCTTTTCTTCGCCAAGGCTAATCCCATTATCTGCAAGAGGGAAGAAACATGGAGATGAGAGGGTTGCTTGGAATTGTCAGCAGTGTGGCTGAGTGGCCCTGCTGGCAAGAGGATCTCAATGCAGAACAATAATAAATGCATCCCCATCGCAAGCAAATGCAGGAGAATCCCCGGCCAGAACTGCAGGATCCGACTGCTAATGTAGTAAAAAGCAGTTAGAATCATAGAATTGTAGAGTTGGAAGAGACTGTGAGGGTCAACTAGTCCAACTCCCTGCACTGCAGGATCTCAACTAAAGCATCCATGACAGATGGCCATATAACCTCTGCTTTAAAACCTCCAAGAAAGGAGAGTCCACCACCTTCCAAGAGAGTTCATTCCACTGTCGAAGACCTCTTACTCTCAGAAAGTTCTTCCTGATGTTTAGTCTCCTTTCTTGTAACTTGAAATGGTTAGTTCAGGTCCTACCCACCAGAGCAGGAAAAAACAAGATTGATCCATCTTCCATGTGACAGCCCTTTATATGTGTACAGTGGTACCTCGGGTTACAAACACCTCGGGTTACATACGCTTCAGGTTACAGACTCCGCTAACCCAGAAATAGTACCTCGGGTTAAGAACTTTGCTTCAGGATGAGAACAGAAATCGCATAGCGGCAGCTCAACGGCAGCAGGAGGCCCCAATAGCTAAAGTGGTACCTCAGGTTAAGAACAGTTTCAGGTTAAGAACGGACCTCCGGAACGAATTAAGTTCTTAACCAGAGGTATCATTGTATTTGAAGTAGCTTCATATACCGTATTTTTCTGTGTATTGGACACCCCCATGTATAGGACGCCCCCTATTTTTGGGGACGCCAAATTAAGAAATGGGAAATTGCCCTGACTTCATGAAAAAAAATGGGGGGAGGATTGCCCAGAGGCTAACAGCCATGCGTGTCTAACAGGCTGCCAATCACCTGTTCCCTCGCTGGCAATCACTGAGCTTTTTTGGGTGGGGGGGAAGAGTGGTGAAGTTTTTCCCCCAATTACTTTTAGAACTTTTCGCCTTTCCCACGGGGCCTCCGTATTTTGCTTGCCTCCTCCCACTCTGCCCGCCATGCAGCTGGGAGGGAGGCTGTAGGCAGTCCATTTTTGCCGTGCGACGTCTTTGCGCGGCTCCACTTGTGCACGGACAGCGCAATGTTTTGCTGATCTTAAAGGCGCAATCACCGCACTCCTCCTGTGTAACGTTGCACTGTCCGCAACTGTACTGTATACATTATTTTGGTACTACTGTTTTTTAAAAACAAAACTAATCTAAATAATCCAACTATTTTGTTTCTTTAGGTAAGTAGAGAATATTGGCTATAGTATTGCAACATCACATAAATAGAATAGAATAGAATAGATTCTTTATTGTCATTACACAAGTGCAACATTGCACAAAGTGCAACGAAATTGGATGCCATCCCTTAAAACAACAAAAGCAAAAACAACAACAACAACCAAACAAACCACATTCCAGCCACACCCACACCAACACCCATCAAACTCCCAGGTCACACTATCGAGTTACAGCATTCAAAAAGGCCACAGCTCTTGGATAGAAACTGTTTTTCAGTCTATTTGTCTTTGACTTGATGTTTCTATATCTCCTGCCAGAAGGCAGTAGTGCAAACAGACTGTGTCCCGGGTGAGATGAATCCTGCAGGATGTTATTTGCTTTCCTAAGACAACGGGAACCGTACAGTTCTTCCAAAGATGGGAGAGGATGACCAATAATCCTTTGGGCTGTGGTTATGACCTTCTGGAGCACCTTCCTCTCCCTAGCTGTACAACTGGAGAACCAAGCACAAATACAGTATGTAAGAATGCTCTCTATGGAGCCTCGGTAGAAGGACACCAGCAGTCTCTCACTCAGATTGTTCTTCTTTAAAAGTCTGAGGAAATAAATTCTCTGCTGGGCCTTCTTCACCAGAGCAGTGGTATGTGCGCTCCAAGTCATGCCCTGATCGATAGTTACTCCCAAAAACCTGAATTCCGCCACCCTCTCCACCCGTTCCCCGTTGATATACAAGGGCTGAATGTCCGCCTTTTTTTTCCTGTAATCCACCACCAATTCCTTGGTCTTAGCCGTATTAAGAGCCAGATTGTTCTCTCCACACCAAACACAGAGCCGCTCCACCTCGTCCCGATAGGCGGACTAGTCCCCTCCTGAAATGAGCCCTACCACCGTAGTGTCATCAGCAAACTTGATGATTTTGTTGCTGGAATAGATGGCTGTACAGTCATACGTATAGAGAGCATAGAGCAGGGGACTCAACACACAACCCTGTGGTGAGCCGGTGTTAAGGCTAAGGGCTGTGGACATATGTGACCCTACTCTAACCCTCTGAGAACGTTCTGACAAA